TCCAAAATAGATCATATACTAGCTCATAGAACATGCTTCAGTAAATGCTGAGGAATTGAAATTATCCTGTGCATATTAACAGACCATAGTGCAATGAACTTGGAAATCAGTGGCCAAAGAAACCACAAAAACTTCATAAACACACAGAAATTGAATTACATCATCCTGAACTACAAATGGGCTACAGATAAAATTAAAAAATAATTAGACAGTTTCTACAAATAATGATAATGCCAATACAACATACCAGAATTTATGGGACACAGTGAAAGCAGTCCTACAAGAGAAATTTATAGTGGTGAATTCTCATAACAGAAAAACAGAGTGAGCACAAATAAACAACCTAGTGTTCAACTTCAAGCTGCTAGAAAAAGAAGAGCAAGTCAAGCCCAAAGCTCATATGAAGGAGGAAATTATAAAGATCAGAGCAGGAATTAATGCAATAGAGACTAAGAAAACAATGCAAAGAATAAATGAATCAAAGAGTTGGTTCTTTGAAAGAATAAATAAAATGGACAAACTTATCCAACCTTATCAAAAAAGGAATGAAAAGACTCAAATCTATATAGTTAAGAATGAGATGAGTGAAATCACAACAGATCCTGCAGAAATCTGGAAAATCATCAATACGTACTTCGAAAACCTGTATTCTAATAAGATGGAAAACACAGAAGAAATGGTCAGATTCCCAGAGACATATGAATTACCAAAGCTGAATCAAGAAGATTCTAAACAGGGGCCAGGGATTTAGCTCAGTGGCAACGGGCCTGCCTTGAAACTGAAAGGTCCTGAGTTTGATCCCTGGTACCATAAAAAAAAGAAGATTCTAAATAAATTCTAAATAAACCAATACCAGTCAATGAAATTGAAGATGTAATTAAAAACCTACCAACAAAGAAGTCCAGGCCCTGATGGGTTCACTGCTGAATTCTACAAGAAATTTTGAGAAGAACTAATGCCACTACTTCTCAAATTCTGCAACTTAACTGAAAGGGAAGCAATGCTCCCAAAGGCATTCCTGTAAGCAATCATTAACCCATAGCAAAACCAGAGAAGGATCCAACCAAAAAAGAGAACTACAGGCCAATCTCCCTCATCAGCATAGATACAAAAATCCTCAATAGGACACTGGCAAACAGAATGCAGCAAATCATCAAGAAGATTATAAATCATGACCAAGTGTGATTTCTCCCAGGGATGCAGGGATGGCTCAGCACGTGCAAAGCAATAAATGTAATACACTACATTAATGGAACCAAGGACCAAAACCACATGATCATCTCAATAGAGGCAGAAAAACCATTTGATGAAGTCCAGCACTGATTTATGATAAAAACCCTACAGAAAACTGGAATAGAAGGTCTTGATCTCAATCTGATAAAAGCCATCTATGACAAACCAACAGCCAACATCATAGTAAATGGAGAAAACTGAAAGCTTTTGCTCTAAAATCAGGAAGAAGGCAAGGATGTCCATTCACTCTCACCACTCTCATCCAATACAGTTCTGGAGCCATTACCCAGAGCAAGGAGACAAGAGAAAGAAAGAAAAGG